ATAGAATATCGCTGTAACACTGTCTGCCTGTCGGGCACAATGTGCATTTTTTGTTTCATAAAATTTCCGATAAAGGTAGGATAGTGCATAAATGCTGTCGCTGGGAAGCCTAACACCTAACACCCGCCAGCAGATCGCGGTGAGGTTCAGGCAGAACTTGTCAAACGTCACGGCACCATGGGTGCTTCAATGTGTGCTGCTTTCCTGTACACATCACAGCTCTTAGTAAAGGCCCACGTGTGCTTGTGCGCCTGGCTTAAGAAAAGTTGCAGTCTGGCTTATTATCAGTGGGGTTTTTTATTTTGAACAAGAGACAAAGCAGCAAGTCTTGGTGTCTTGAAGACTTTCCGGTCTATGCCTGGAGGTCATAGCAGCATCTGCAGACATTCAGTCATTGGCTGAATTCACCCTTCGAGGTTGCTTCAAGGGTTCGATGCACCCCAGAAGGAAGCAGCCATTAAAGCTGGTATTTCCGTGTAATTCTTCGCCTGAAATGAAAGCCAAAAAAATGCAATTTACACTTTTTACACAGCAGTCTTAATTCCTATGCAAGCCTCGCATTTTCGCGCGAAATATTTAAATTGAAAATGTTCATATAAAATGTGCTTGGCTGGTGCTCGGAGTGTGGTTTCTCGCACTTGTGCCCCAACAGCTTGGTGTCCTGGCATTAAATCAGTTACATTGTTGTCATAACCAGCGACAATAGTTTGCTTTACGAGCACACAAGAGCGTTTGGCATTTGGACGTTTTATGCACCACGAAGTCCCAACATCTTTAAACCGGGTCAGGGATAAGAAGGAGGGTTTATTGCTGCGTTAAAGTGAACTTTTTTAATGCACCAACTAGATTTCCTAGCTGCACCCTTTATGATGTCAGCTTTACAATAGACAATACTGCATATGAGTTTCGCTATTTCACTCTGTTGTTGTCGCATTATGCGACAGCAGAGTATAATAACTCGCAACATGAGCTTCGCTCAGTGCTGGATCTGCTTTTAGATATCGTATTACGTCTAATAAATTTAATTATCTAATGGAGAGGGTATATAAAAGATAGCACATTAAGCCCGATACTCTTCAGCTGTTATGTCTCTTTATATCTCTTTGTATACTCTGTGCTTAAGAGTTGCAAACATTATATTTCTCAACGCGAACAATTTAACAGGCATAAGAAATATTTTCGACTCCCCAACGTATATATAGTACAAGTTTTTTTAATCAGCATTAGCAGACGAGTCAATTAGACCTCGGAGAATAAAAGATCTGGAAACAACTAATATTGCACACATATGTGCGTATGCAACTGGAATTTTAATGGATTCCTTAATGCTTGCTCTGACCACTTAAATAAAACTCTCAAGCAGGAACTATGGATTTATTAACTTCCTGCAAATTGTTGCAAATCATTTTTGTTACGTATTTCCCAATCCCTTTTGAAGTATCGCAGACTTATGTGTTCGTTCGAAGCTGCAAATCTAAGCCCCAATTACAATTAAATGTTACTCAAACGCCATGCAACAACCACAATACATCAGTTGCTTCGTCCAACTCTAAGCGTGATTAAGTGTTGGCAGCCGCGGCAGTTTCAAATCAAATTGAAAGGACCAGAGACGGAACGGCAGAGAAGACAGACTCATTAGACCGAAGCGTGATGCGTGACACCAACTTTAAATTGTGCAAAGCCCGTCAGCCAACATCTACCATTCTGCTCCCATTCTCGGTTGCATCGTAATCTTGGCCATTACTCAAAAAGTAGCGGGCACAACAACGCGCACGTAGCATGGAGGGCCAAAAAGGAAAAATAAACTCAGCTATGCAAACTGCGAGGGCGTAAACGCAATGGAGGCAGAGCAGAACCCATGGGGCGACCACCATCCACCATCCACATACCAACTAAGGGCTCCTGCTCGTGACATTTGTAGTCTATTTGTGTTTGCTGTGGCACGCGTTGCCGCTGCCGCTGCCGCTTCTGCTTCTTCTGCTGCCCGGCAGCGGCGACAGACATGAGCGTGCAAGGATGAGACTGCGACTCTGCCCTTGTCCTACTGTCAGTGCCACAGTCACAGTCACAGCCGCAATGGCAGCGGCAGCACTGTGTGACGATTAGGCCATTGCCTTTGAAATCACAAACAAACGCTCCTACTCGCACCGACCAGCGCCGACTTTGACTTCGACCCCTACCACCCCCTACCCCACCCCCGCCCCGGATCCACGATAATGGCTTTGTTATGCTAATTTCCACAGCTTATGCTGGCCAGGCTTCTGGTCATTGCTGCTGTTACTGTTTCCTTTGATGCCACTGTATATGTTTTTCGTTTTGATTGGCTTTGTTGGTGCGGCTGTGGCTGTTCCTTAATTTAATTATGTGTTCTCTTTTCGTATTCTACAAACCGAAATTGTTTAATTCTTGGTATCATGCAAAAATTACAATTGTTCAAATTTGCAACATAATTTCCCAGAAAATGTAAACGCTAATTTCTTTTGTTATCCTGCTGTGAGCCGGATATGTGTTCCTGATTCGGGTGGCTCTCCCGAATGTTTGCCAGCTTCTCGAGCTTTCACAATTTTCTTTTTTCTCTGCTGCCCAGCTGCGTTTATTTACAGTTGTGGCTTTTGCCATTTAACTCTTTTATCGTCAACAGCGATGCTGCGCAAAAAAATAAAACTGTCCGACTTATCCCCTAAGCCTTTCATAAACATCGTATCAATTCTTTGTAAACCGTGGCAAATGTTGTTGCTTCTGGACCAAAAATTCTGGTGGCGGCCTGATGCCGCATAGCTTTCTTCCAGCTTACCCCTTTTCATTTGTGGTCTGGTTTCCTTTCCCTAACTGTGCTGCCCCCTTTCAACTGTTTATGAATGAATTCGGGTAAGACTTGAAATTGCAACTAGAAGTTGATTGTGATGGGGCAGGTAGGTACAGTGATTGATAATGGGGCGGACCAGTGGAGGGGCTAGCTAAGTATTGCACAGAGTATAATGGAATTGCCAGAAATTGCGTGAAGCGTTAAATTCGAATTGGGGGCTGCAATGGCAGTCTGATTTAGGAAGGTGCAGCAAGTCCAATTTAATAATGCAAATACCGTTAAATAGGCCGAACTCTTTAGTTAATCGGCAGTAACATAAAATAAATTATTTTAATCTTTGTTGGTGTATTACAATTTCTAGATGTACATAGTATAATTGGAAAACAATTACGTTCGTTAGCTGCTGAATCTTATAAGCTGCTCAGCAAACTCTAACATCTCAAGATTACTATTTCCAGCATTCAATTTTGTTTCAATCACATTAGATAAACATTTCTCATATGAATAATATTTAAAAACTTGAATATTCTTAGGACAGCAAAATGAATGCTGATTTAAATTTTCTTGAAAATCACAACCCATTCTCTCTTTCAATAGTATATTGTTAGTTTTCCATTTTACAACTTCAATTTCGGATTATGCCCTTTTTTAAATTTAATTGTAATGACGATATGTTTTGGACCTTAGTAAACAAACGAGCGTCCCTAGGCAGCATGATATTTGTGTACAAAACAGAAGGGAAAGAATAGTTGGGAACATTTTCTATTGTTTTATTTCATCCTCAATTTTGTACACTCTGCTTTTATTGGCCACTCCCGTCGTGCATATGCTAGCCACTTGCAAGTTTCTTGTTAACTTAAGAAACTGAAAACAGTCGCTGGCTAAGTAACTCGGAAAGTGTCCCAAGCTGCTCCCTGCACCCACACATGCAAAACGACTCTCAACACAATTATAACACAACTCAAGCGGCAAACATATTGACAGGCAAGCAGCCAGGGACCCAGACCCCGGACCAGAAGAAAAGGAAAGCTGGCAGCCCAAGCGTTATGAGTGTTTTCCCTTTTGACACGCGCGCTCCTTGCCTGCCATTGCATGTTAACTTCTTGGGCTGCTCCTGCCGTCTTCCAGTCGTTGTATATATGCGATTTAGATTGTGTGTGTGTGTGTGTGTGTGTGTATGTGTGTGAGTTACGCCTGCCTTTTGATTGTCATGCCACATTATTATGCTTTATTTCCGTGCCTTTTATTTTTAATAAAAATGTCGTCAAATTTACATAGCCAGCCGTCGGGGTCTTCGGGTTTTCGTGCCTTGGTGTATTCCTGTTTGTCTGTCGCCGTTGTCGGCGTCGGCGTCGGCGTCGGCGTCGGCGTCGTTGCCGCCTGAGACGCTTAAGTCGGCCTGTCGACGGCATAGACTCTGCTTAGGGTTCGGTTGGAGAATGTTTTGTTATTGTTGCGAGTTGGCCAGACCGGTGCTACGTTTTTTTTTTTTTTTTTTTTTTTTTTTGAAGTGTTTACAACACTTCCGGCGTATAATGGAAAACAAAAGGCTTAAAAGGATACACAAAGGATTTGAGCAATCAAGTGCACTTTAAGGACTTTACCTATATAGCAACCGATAACAGTTTTTGCGTCAGGCCACGTTTGCACCTGCCATTACCGTACAATCATGGTAGGAGACGATGTTTTTCGTCCGCACTTTTTGCCATCGTTGTTTGGTTTTTTTTCTTCTTCTCGCTCTCTGTACCGTTTGTTTCCAAGTCATAACAATGCTGAGTCTTCAATATATCCAGAAACAGACACCCTTGTCTGGCCCCAATATACATAATGTGTGGGGGTGTACAAGTATGTAACAGAAAGGTTGACAACAGGCATAAAACTTGAAGTTGAAATGTTTGCTCGGTCTTAGCTATAAATGATAAGAATAAAAGGCAAAACGGTCGAGGGCTCTGGCAAGTGTTGACCAAGTTGCAAAAGGACATGGCAACTCTACTACCTTTTATGTCTTAAGTTTCTCTGTGGGCTTCACACACGTCTTTGTAACGTTTTACCCAAGACTTGAGGTGGAAAAGGCATTACATTGGAAGGACTGGACAAATACTTGTATCATACGCACGGTAGACGGAAATGTTAATTGTTTTAATATAATCACTACAAATTTTCAATTTGTATCCCTTTTCCTCTCCCTTTTCAGATGAGCAGCGTGCGCCACAGAAATGTACAGCAACTACTGCTGCCCTGGCTGTTCCTGGCAATCACGTCCCTGACGCTCTACCTCGCCTGCCGAGTCTCGGAGTTTGCCTGCAAGGGCAGCTTAAATAGTGGCAACATTTGCGTGCCCCTGGACAAATACTGTGACGGACGCAGCGACTGCCCCGATGGCAGCGATGAGCCCAAACACTGTTCCGGTAAGTGCATAACTACATCTGAAACGACCCGGAGCCAATGCTCACAGAATAAGCTTTCATTTTTGCAGTCTGCAATCGCACATACTACGGCGATATTGGACGCACCTATGCCATAAAAGTGCCAACGCCACAGTGGAATAAATTGCCATTCCTCTGCCACTTGACATTCACAGCGTCCGGCCACGATCAAGGCGACATTGTTCAGGTGAGTCCGAGAAGGGGTCCGCACACACTTCTGTGCACTTGTTTGTCGACAGCTTCACGAGCCTGCGGCTCCCTCTAGTGTTTGCCAGGTTGCAGCACTTGCTGCTGTTGTTGTTGTTGTTGCTGTTGTTGCTTCTCTGTTGCTGCTGCCGTTGCTGGTTATTGGCGTGACCAGACGTAAGCCCAAAGATTAGCTGCGGCGCAAACAGCAACGTACTCGTACACCATAGATGGGCGCGTGATCGCGTGCTGAAAACTCGTGAGATGAGATAATATTTTAAAAAATTTAAGGACACGTACATATATTACAAAGCTGTTACTCCTCAAGGTAAAGGCTAATAAGTGCCGGGTGTGCGCGACTCTAGCATTCGCCTCATTTTCTTCTTCTACTCCTTTCTACTCCTCAGTATACAACATTTTAGAGATGTATTATGTCATCTCTAAAACATAAACGTTGGGAATGGCTCCATCCACATCGCTGACATTGTCACGCATAAATACCCGGTGAAATATTTCGAAGCACATGTATACATAATGTACATAACATAACATACATATACCATGCAGTCGTATATCCCCCTACAGTCAGGGCTCCTCATATTGTCGACCCCAATACATATCTGACTTTGGCTCGAGGCTTTCGCCTTATATGCGTGCTTAATTAGCATTACGACGATGCCAATGTCTATGCTCCTTCTCTACCCGTTCAAAACCTTGGCGAACTTGTGCTTTATTGCTCGTACCTTTAAGGAAGTGTGCACATCCGGCGCTGGCAATGAAATTAGACACGCTTCAAAATATGTTTGCGAGGTGTCAGAAAAATTGCAATTTCAAAAATAATTGATTTCATACAATTTGCTTGACGGCAAAATCAGCAGCAGAGCATCGGAGTAGCAGAGAAGCAGCAGGCAAGGGGGCGATGGTGAGAAGTTGACGATGCTGGCAAAATTGCGACGCCTTACTTACGACCATGTAAGTTAGAAGCATCTCTGTTGCCATGTCAGAGTGCCTCTTGGAGCTCAAAGCTAACTTTGTTAACACTGCTCGCTTACACAAAACAGTCTGCCACGACTGACTGACTGAATGAATTGGACACCAGATTCTTTTTACAGTAAAGGTGCCCACAAGGAGGTCGTTTTGGGCAATTCAGGCTTCAAAAGGGGAAATAGGGGCTCCAGAATTGTTATATTTTTCATCCGATCGAATTCATCTGGAAAATAACAAAAACTAGTTACGCCCAGGGACAAGGGAATCCGAATGTCAGGTTCGGTTATTCTAGCAGTGTGTACATACGTTTACAAGTAAAGCCATAATTGTAAAAGACACAAATAGACCCACATAGATGACATCCTGGTGTACATCTATGCTATTTTGAGTAAGGCATGCATTATATACCGTGTACCCACAAGGTAAAAGGGATACTAGTTTTTTGCGAATGTATGTAACAGAAATAAGGACGAGTGGCAGACCCCACTATTCTGGATCAAGGCGACAAGACGAGTCGATATTGTATGATAACATAAAGATCTCAGAAAGTACAGTAAGTAAGCTTGAATAACCAAGCCCTAGGCAGGCCAAGTTTGTTTTTGTATTCTGATGCACCCTTCCATAATTGCTGTAATTCATGGAATTTTGAACTCAAATTTAGTAATTACATTTATTAGCGATGTATCCGTATGTTAAGTTTGATAGAACAATTTAAAAAGAAGTTATATCCGTAAATTAAAGCTGCTCTACAGGCAGATGTTGTTGTTGATGCTATGACTTAATTCTGTACTGCCTACTAGCACGCACTTATGTATGTACGATTTTGATGTAAATGTATGTTGTTGGAGCTGTAAAAACATTTGTCTCCACTTATGAATGTTTGTATTGAATATTTTTTATTTCATTTTATTATTAATTTTTTAACACTTGGACTTATTTCATATTAAGCTATACACGAAGCAATTGACCAAGACCTTTATATTTTCCATTTGCTCACTCTCTCTCAAATCATGATTACTATTCTATAGAATTTTTCTAGTGAATTTTCTTGAACAACAGAATTCTTAGGTTTAAAATAGTTTTGATAGGCAGCCTGTAAGGAAAAGCATAACACTTTTTATAGCCTGCACCCAAAGGGTAAAAGGCTATATTAGTTTTGTGCGAATGTACGTAACACACAGAAGGAGGATTATTGATCACCATGACAAGACGAGATAGATATAGCCATGTCCGTCCGTCCGTCCGTCTGTCTGTATGACCGCAAGGATCTCAGCAACTACAATAGCTAGGATAACCAAACTTGACATTCAGGTTCCCCTAAGCACTAGGCAGATAGAGTTTGTGTTTTTATACCCTGTACCCGTAGGGTAAAAAGGGTATATTAGGTTTGTGCAAAGTATGTAACATGCAGAAGGAAGCATCTCCGACCCCATAAAGTATATATATTCTGAATCAGTATGACGAAAGAAATCGATCTAGACATGTCCGTCCGTCCGTCTGTCCGTCCGTCTGGATTAACGCAAGGTTCTCAGAAACTATAAAAGCTAGAATAACCAAAGTTGTCATCCAGATTCTCCTAGGTCCGAGTAAGGACGAGTTTATTTTATTTTTTTTTAATTTCCCCCCCCTTCCCCCGCTACAGAATTTCGTCAATAGCGTCCACATTTCATTTGAATTTTATTCAATTCGGTCAATTCTAAGAAAAGTTATTAGCAAATTATTATTATTTAGTGATGTCAATTATATATTTAAATGTTTCACGTTATGCAATTGTGAATAATTTGTAAACTGAAACTGTTAGTGTGGTATTTTGTAATTAAGCTAACAATTATGTTGTGGCCTAAAGCCGCAAGCCACTCAAAATAAATGGTCGAAAAAAGTAAACACTTGCTTCAAGTTACTTTAGAGACATTTGTCCAGTTGATATATAGATATTATGCTAGATGTTCTATAAGCACATGATCATTTCAAAAATATTGCTAGAATCTAAATCAATGCAGCATTCCAAACAAAATTTGTCAGAATTCGGGTGAATGGAGACAATTATCGCTTTTTCCTTTAGGATTTCTGAGATTTGACAATTTAAATACTTGATACCAATAACATGATTAAAGAAGCAGACAAAAGCTCAAATTATAGCTATAAATGTGGCTATGCTCGTTTAGAAACATACAAAAAATTGCACAAAATTCTGAGAATGAACCTACAAACCCAATAATAAACAAAATCAAGCGGCAAACAAAACAAATACAATTTTCTGAATGCTGCAGCAAACATAAAAACAAAATTTCCTCATAAAACAAAAATAACAAAAACGGCATAAAAAATTATGTTTAAAATATAATAATAAAAGTGGTTGGGTGGCGTTGATTTATGTACATACTTGTATGTATATCGAGGAAAAAGCCGCCTCATTGCTATATAGTATACTCATATATAGTATTATTTTTGCACCTAAAGGCTGTCCTCGTTGGGCAGTTTCGCGTGCCGCTGAATTGAAAAATATACGGCGCGAAATACATACAATATCACCCAATGTGCACAGGAAGAAAGAATTGGACATAATACGTTTCTTACCAAAAATATCTGGCTACTACAAATTTGTTAAAGAACTACAGAAATTTTGGTTTACCTACAAAAATTGATTAATTCAAGTCGAAAATATGCTTGATATTTTGAAGATATAATATGTTATGGAAAATGAGGATTATTACTTTGAGCAATTACCCCATCTTATGAAAATACCACAATCATAGAAAATATAAGTTCAGATATAAGTTATTTGTAAAATGTGTTTTTATATAATGTGTGTTATTTATAAAATGTGGCAAAAGAGTGAGTTTCTAAAACCAACCCCATGTACATATGTACTTAAATAAAAATTGTAAAAATAACAAGAGTTGTAGATGTTAGCCGTAAATTTAAAATAACCGATACATGAAGCAACCCTTTTACTTGAAACAATTATTCGCGCATTCTTCCAACTATTGAAATCGTTCGAACAGATGAACAGACAGCTAGATCAAATTCATTTTAATCAAAAATCTTCTCCCTTCTCTTACCCTTTGAGAAAAAAAAACAGAATTATTCAATAGTGGTTTTTTATATGGAAAGAAGATTCTTATTACTCAACTAACAGCAAAGTGTATTATGAAAGCTTATCAATATTATTCTACCAGATCTTATAGAATTTGTGTCCTACTTGTAATGCTATTTATATTCATTTTAAATGTATTTATGCATTCAGTTTTTTCATTTCCATAACACGAACCAAAATTAGGTATTCGTCACGGTCTGCAGGACACGCAACTTCCTTACTATACATAAATACAAGTACATATGTGTAAGCGCTTGGCACACTTCCTGCAGGTTTCCACACTAATAAAACATGTCCGAACTGCCAATGAGCAGCATAAATAACTCGAAAATGCAGAGGTCCCGAGCTTCCGGTCGAGAGAGGCTCAGCCGCGGGGGCTGAAGAATAGAAGTCTCAACTGCAGAGGCATTTACATCCACCTATGAAAAGGTTTACTAATGAAGAGCGGCACGTTTGTATACGAGTAGAGCCAAACTCGCTACTGAATTTGTTCGGAAAACACTCTTAATATTTGAAATTGAAAATAAGTTCACTTGAAACTAGGTGGGACCCTGCCTGTTTATTGCTGTTGTTATTTTCCCGTATGTGACTGTTGCTCGGGTGTTGGTTTTTAAAAATTCATGAATTCCTGCGGCTGCCGCCTGTCAAGGAGTTTAACCCCATTGCAGTGTTTGCTCAATTTACAAATGCCACACACAGGCACGTTTATTTGCATATTTTATTAAAATACTATATTCGAGTATACTGAATAAGAGTGTATTGTGCGGGCCTTAGTATCAAAAGGATTCTCAACATGACTCTGCAAGAGCCGGAAAAGACTTTGAATTGGTAACCGCTGCCTAGTCTCCATCGCTTTCTGATTCAGTTGACTTCTTGTCCTGGTCTGTGCGTTGCTTGTTTTTTACATTTTTTGACCTTGAGTTGAGCTCTGCACGTTGCCGTACCAAGATGAGCTCAGCTCTAGCTCTGCCCAGCAGAGTGTTTTCTTTTTCTTATGTATGACCAATCAAATATGCAAACATTCCGCAAAATAAAAGCGGAGCTAGCTGAGTCCTGCACTGGCGGACATAGCGATTGAATTTTATTTGCATAACTTTAACTTAACGTACTGAAGCTAGAAGACATAAAATATACTTAGTTTCTTATATGATAAATGATTAAAGTTGACTTCGCATCCTATTCTCGCACACAGATTATCTTTGATGGCTTCACCGTGGGACGCTTCGACGAGGGCATGGTGGATACGGATGTCGACGGCTATGAGGCGAATCTGAGTCCCACCGGGGAGCTGCCCGGCTGCCCCGAGGGTTTTATGCAGGTAAGTTTGAATTAAATTTATTAAAGCTAATGTAGCGCAGGTGTAGCGTCGAAGTTGAAATGTTTTGGCCAATCCGCTCACACCACATTGGACTCCCATGGCATCTCGGCCCACTTCATTTTGTGCCATTAGCCCAACACGAAAACTCACCGATCTAGGAGCGTGCAGCGTTTGCACTCCATTTGTTTGCTATTGAACTTACGTTGACTATAATTTTATGCCAGGCAACACCAACGCAGTTACACACACACACACACACACACACACACACACACACACACACACACACTGTAAGTCATTCCGGTATTCACATTCACCCTCCGACAGGGTTCGGCTCTGTGGATGCGATTCACTGGCTCCTTTCTCGCTCGCTCGTTCAATTCAATCAATGTCCGAGTAATTCTGTAATTTTCTGTTGGTTCTGTTGACAAATACCACATTAGCCCAGCAAATTGAATTGAATTGTGCGCATGGCCTGGCCTTCCCGGCCTTCCCGACCACCCGTTTACCCTACCACCCGCTTGACCACCCATGCTCATTCACGACCCCAACACTGCATGAGCTGTGACATCAGCACGATGGCTGTTGGCCGTATCATTTGCTTGTTGTGCGGCCGGCCATCAAAATCTGGCCATACTATATATACTATACTCGTACATACATATACTAGTATACTATATGTACGTGGATGTGAGTGCGAACGAGGAAAAACTCTAGCGCTATGTATTTTTAACACTGTATATTTTTATCAGAATTTTTGCGGCTCCTGCCTATGGACATTGCTACTTTGTAAGGCATTTTCCGGTTGGGGAATGATCGGGGGCGCAGGATACCACCCATGGGTTGACGCCTCTTCTAATGGCCATGGCAGTAAAACTAAAGCCAACTAAATAAAATGTACAAAATCCCTGTAATTGACTTGTGCAATCTGTAGAAACGTACAATGTACTTGTGTATATGTATATGTTGTAATAATACATTAAATGTAGAAGCTGGAGTTTGTTAAAGCTTTCAACGCTTGGCCTTTTTGCACACTTTTCATTGCCTTTCAGTTGCCTTAAGCTGGCTTCTCTGATGTAAAGTGTTAGGTTTCCTCTACAGATGTGGAATTCATTTAAAGGAGCTGGAACTGGAACACAAACAAACTATGTACTTCCTAATGTTTATTTGCATCCAGAAGTTCGTCATGGACTTTGGATAGAAGCGCCGCTGCTTTTATTCTACTAGTTGTATGCTCGCCGTCTGATAAGCAAAACATTGAATTCGAACATTTTGATATTATATTGATCCATAGGGGGTCCTCAATAAATATCAATTATTATACAGATACGACAATAAGGGAAAAGCTGCTCGAAAGCAGTTTCTTTTTTGAAGCAGACATTTTAAATCTTACGGTTACACGAAGAGTCTGAAGAATGAAGTAATGAACTTCATTATGACAAATCACAATTTGTCCTTGTTATGACCTTTGCTGTGCTGGCCATTTAATTTTTGATATTGTTTCAAATTTGTAATTCAACGTGATACAAGTCGGATTTAAAAGATCATCCAAAGTTTCGCAGTTTATCGAAAGCTGTGACAAAAGAGGTTTCGGAAGAAAAACTGTCGGTTGTTTGCACAGAATCAGGGACAGAATCTTAGTTCCTAAGGGCTTTTTCTTTTTATATTTTCTATTTATATTCTTCTATTAATAGCTTAATTAGCGCATGAATGAACGATCCTTAGATCAGCTACTGGACTGGTATGTAATTTCTTCGAAGTATTTTGGGCATATTGAGTTATTCGACGTGTAGGTAAATGAGCATTCAGTTGAAGGTCAATGTGGTATTCTGTTGGTTGTAGCTTTGTATCTTTTGTGTCTTCCGTACTACTATATACACCAAAATATACTCACAAAGTAACAAGTTCATTTTTTTTTACTGTTTACCCGAAAGATAAATAGGGTATGTAAAGATAAAAGAAGTATCTCCATTACCATAAATATATATGTATATTCGTAGTCAGCATGAGAATGGGGCAAATCGATCTTGTCTAGATGAACATCTCGATATGAGTTTGTTCAAGGAGTGCAATTTTCTCTTATATCTGACCCACTGTGATACAATATTCGCTCATCGGCCAATGTGTGTGTTGAGGTTTCATTTCGCTCTTGACATGCTCGCTCTATTTATGGGAGCACGCCCCGTTTTTCCGTTTCTTTTTTTACCCTGTACGCATTTGGTAAAAGTTTCCTAAATACTAGTTTAGTCCGAATGTATGTAACGCCCACAAGAGGGCGTGGAAGACGCCAAAAAAGCAAATATTATACATACTCTTCTTAAATATAATGCAACGAGTCGGTATAGTGCGTCGAACGGCCTCATCATCATATTGTACTTTACCTTCTTTTTAATATTCTTTATTTATTTATTGAGTCTCCGCTTATTTTCTTAAGGGACTAGTAATCAAATCTCAAATCTCATTCTAATTTTTTTTACAATTAATTATTAAACTGTATTTTTGTTGAATAACTCTGAGTACAAGGTATGTAAGAGGATTTGGATATGAAGCAAGCGCTTTCTGATGTTTTGTTGTGGCTGTTGTGGTTCTGTAATCTCTTCTCTATCGAGTTTAATGTTCAGGTCTCCGGAATGCTCTTGTTCCGGATGGTTATCAAGATTTTGGATTATGCTCGCTTTATACTCATAATGTCTGTGTTGTACTTTACCTTTTAGCTGCGACAAATTTGGAAAGCCCTTATTTTTAGATACTATGGGTGAAAAAATAATTGAATGTGAAAAAGCATTTTTATACGTGTATCATCATCACCAGATTTTCATATGGTCGTTTTCGTTCTTTGCTCGGCTTGATATGCAGTTAAATATTTGAAATTTTATTTGTTTTTATATATCCTGTTAACAATACATCCGCTGGTGTGGCTCCACCCCTTTTATAAAGTCGTAACTAACCGCAGGTTTGTGTTGTCAGGAAAAACAACAAGTTACAGTTCGGTGCGTGGTGAATTTTGTGGTGCTGGCAAAAAATCGCACATTAAGAGTTCCAGCAACAACAATTTACATTTTTTAACGGTCAACATTTTTAACTGAGTGCAGTTCCGTTTGTTGGGCCTTATAAATAATATGTGAGATTGCCAACCTAAAAGTATATTTATGTATTTTGTACGTATCTGGTTTTAGTGTTTTAACGTTCCTTTTAAAATTGAAAAGGGATTGAAAAGGGGATAGCTGCCCAACCGCAAAATAAATTTCCATTTCCATGAATTAGATATTAGTGTATTTGGCTAGTTCTCCTATTTAGACATTATAGCTCATGAGATGGTATTATTATGGTGTATTTTGTCATCTCAACAGCCTTCGCTTGTGGAGCACTTACATGTATAGAAAACCCTTTAAAATGGCTGTCGAACGGCTTTAATTACTCATATGCAGCTTTGCAAGAATACTTTTTTTGATTTTACTTCAGTTTCTGCTCAATCATTTATTCAATCTAGTTAGACATCTTGTCTCATTCATTTTGTAACATCAGTGTCAATAAAACATAACCTATCCTCAACCCCAATTTAAAAAGCTTAAGGAAACGTAGTAACTGCGCTCGTGTGTCCTTGGCGCGACCTTTTCTTTATTATTTTTCATAATTTAACGCCTCTTCTTAGGCTTAACAGCCAGCCTTAAAGTTGCCTTCAAATTTGCCCGGCTAGACAGGGCAACTGTTCCGGCCATACTTTCCCTGTTTATTTGCTAATATTTCTAATCATAAATAACAAAGTTTATGCATAAACGTATTACCCTAAATCAACAATGGAAACAACAACAATATGCAGCAGCCGCTGTTGTCGTCGTCGTCATCGTTGTCCGAGTCGGGCCGGTCGTAGGTTGCTGTCCTTGCCTGCCCTTTCGCTTTAACGAGCATTATATACACACACACACACACACACGGCCAAACAGCTTGAGTAAATGACTCAATATTTGACAATCATAACATCCGCTTAGAGCGACTGCTGCCCCTCCCATTTCCATTTGTGAGATATGCCTGGCTGCTCTCGTTGTTGTTCTTGTTGTTGTCGCAGCTGCTGTCATTGTTGGTGTTCTTGTTCTTCTTGTTGCTGTTGCTGTTTTTGTTGTTGTTGCGAGTGGCAAAGACAAGAGCACATTGAGTTTGTCAATAGCAATATAAGTTGCCTGTGTACTCGTATGCTTATGTGTATGTGTTGGCGCGATAGACAAGCTCATAATTCAACATTAGGACAGCGGCCCACAGGATCCAAGTCCTGAATCTACTCTCCACACTTCTAGCGTAACTCATCCGCCAAACTGACGCTTCACTGATTGTTGTTGGCGCCTTGACAAGTTTGTTTTAGAATTTATGAGGCCTCAGGCCTTAGTGCAAGAAGTTGGGATTTTATAAATGACCATTCACCTCCAGTAACTAGTTTCGAAATGCTTAACAAATCGTGCTAAACAAAAGCTGTCTGCTGATGTGCAATAATTTATTTTTAATGATTTAATGGAATATGATAATGCATTAAATTTCAGTACAACATGAGTGGGAAGCCAGGCAGAACTCTGTAAACAGAACGGGACGAGGGCGATCATGCAATGCATTATGTGCTTAAAATGTGGCACAATTAAGTTGAAAAACACACGGCAGCAGCATCCTTTATTTATTTTATTGTTAAGAGAATACCAGCCTGGCATGGGGGGGCAGGCAATAGCCAGCAACTGCCACGTAACTTGCATCAGGTTGACAATGGGCACTATGTGGCATTAAATGCTGTGATGAAACTTTAATACGCTTACAGTAGCTTAAACGCCATTTATTTTATTTATTTTCTTTTTTTATATTTATGTCAACAAACATTGACTGTTGGCATAGGAAAACAATATATGTATAAAAATTTAAAAAAAAAACCTTATAAGCTAGGAAAGCCTAAATAGGAGAAATTTAACCCAATAATATCTAAAAAACACCTCCTCCCCGGCAGGGGTATATTATTTGCTTCTGGGCTATCTATATTTCAAAAGGGCATATGGTTGCAGAACTGTGCAATGCAAAAAATTGCGAGTATCGCAGCCGAAGTTGAGTTCAATAATCAAATAATATAAAGTAATGGAATTATTCCCAGATATACAGTATGTATATAGGTATTAAAGTAAGAAACTGTGATCTGAAATCAGTTCATTTTTCCTTCGCCAACAAACAAATATACGCTCATTGGCGATGTGCAATAAATATAGTATGTACGAGTACAGTATGACCCGAAATTATGGTTATAATTTTCACAATTTGTATTTATATATTAACATCTATTTAAGCTCCTTCAAAATAATCCATTCAAGAAATTAGTTTCTGGAATTGCCTTTAGTACCTGCTTCGATTTGGCTTGAGTCTCGCCAATTGTGTCAAAACGGTGTCCTCGATTTGGTCTATTCCAATTAATCAAATAGAAGTAAAAGTCCCTTGGAGCTAAATGAATACGGTGGTTATGTAACGATATTTTTTTTATACCCTGGACCCATGGGTAATAAGGGTATATCAGGTTTGTGCAAAGTATGTAACATGCAGAAGGAAGCATCTCCGACCCCATAAAGTCCATATATTCTGAATCAGCATGACGAGAGAAATCGATCTAGACATGTCCGTTTGTCCGTCTGTCCGTCCGTTTGCCCGTCTGTCTGGATGAATGCAAGGATCTCAGAAACTATAAAAGCTGGAATATTTATATTATCTCGTTTTGTTGGCCTTGCGTTTTCACATAATTTATCTGTCTTTGTGTAAGTTTAAATAAATTAGAAGTGAATTGAGTAAATATGTTTTATTCTGCCCATATTCTGAAGAAAATATTTAATTTATGGGCCTCAATTGCATCTAGGTGTAATAACCATATGTATCTCAATATCGTCCACTAAAGGTGAATTTAGATTTCTATCTTGAAATCATCGCCTTTCTTTCATACCGATTGCATACATATCTTGCCAGGATTCTAACTTTTGAAGAGTAATTTTTTGTCGATTTAGACGACTGACGATTTAGACAGCTATGGAGGTTTTTCATAAAAATTCTGTACCGAAAGAACAGTGAAGTAAGTCATAAGTTTCGGACAAGTTTCATCATAATCGACTGACCCTCGAAAAAGTTATTACGGAGAGACTTAAATGCATATGGGGCTAGACTTCTTCTTCATCGGCTAAATCCCTTCCCTGTAGAGTGTAATGAACTCGACAAATCCAGTTTTTATGAGCTGACAACAACACGAATATGAATATTGATTGAAGTTGTTATGCAAGGGAAATAAAAAGCTTAAGATTTAGCTTCGTCTCGTCATTTCAAAAATTTCTTCTACCCATTTCAATTTGCATTTTGTCGATTTTTAAACCTAAATGTCTACATTGGTGCAATCAATTAACAAAATATGTACGAGTAACTGGGACTGGAGCAGAACTGGGACTGGAACAGAACATGGCGAAGCAACTACAAAAATAATGTAATCAATTTTAAATCAACACTAAATCAAGAGCGGAAAATATTAGAGTTGCAACTGCAGATACATGCATATATATTCTATATACTTGTGTATGTGTATGTATATGCAAGTATATTCGCAGAGACACAAAGCGAAAGTCCAATAATTCGTTATGAAGTCGATGCTAATAACGCTCCAGTGCACACAATGGCCTAACTGACGGGTCAACCGGCATGGCTGGATGCTGATGAGGCCGCCATGAAAAATGTGAACAGAGCCGCAGCCCAACAAGAAATACCCCCCTGACCATGCTAGATCGAATTCCAAGCGAACTCCAGCCTGTTGGTCAGTGTTGAACAATGAATGGCCAGCGGACGATGGAAAAGGATAAGATAGAGATAGAGGAAAGGAGACTGCAATGAATTTACACAAAATCGAAATCAGAAAATTACCATTACGCCAGTCAGTGGACCCTGACCACAGCGGCCAGTTAGAAAGGGACGGACTTGCAACATTCATATGATAGCAATGAACTCTAACCAGTTGCAAATATTGGCTAGTTATAGCCCCGTTCGTTCACAGAGGACAAGTACAAGCCCTAGCACGAGTGCAGTTACAGCAAAAATTGCTGTTTGTGTTGAGGTTGCCCGAGGCACGACCCAGCATAGATACCGGGTTGAACTTCGTCAGCTTGCAGTTCAAATAACCCATTAACTGAGGACTTAATCAATTGGAACCGCATACGACACGGACCAAATACGATCGGGATTAGCAAGGGGCATTGGACAATTGTGGAGTGACAGTCGAGAAGCCGTCATAAAGTTGTAAACGAGCCAACTACTAACGAGCAGCCCAAGCCTAAGCTCGAACCAAATGCAATGAGGAACATCATAGGCAATAACAGTTCACTGCATATCGCCATTAACGACTTAAATGCTGACTTGCTGTCCTGTTTCGTCCAATGTCAAATGAAAGTCGATGACCGGCATCAGCTATTAATAATGGATACATTATTTTATTTGCAATTGCATATACCGACCTGCAGAACTTTTGCCAACTACTATATTTTTACAACAGCACACAAATTTATGCCATTTTGTACAGTTTGCTGGCTGAGTGCCTGCAATTGTTACACTTGTTGGTGTTGCTGGTGCCTCTGCTGGCGAAGGAAAAACAATCAAATATAGAACATACTATAGTGTACGGCAACGGCGCCGCATTTGAAAATAAACATTACACAACAAACATAATCCATTGCCCATGCTAGGTGGGTGGATGAGAGCGATGGCGAGGCAGCATAAGTTTAAATGCAACCCGTTTATTAATTTTGCATGCGTTGTACACTTGCCAGCGCCATCCATAAAGGATGTGTTTTTTGTGTGAGCCAATAAAATCAATAAACACTGCGAATGTTACGAGCAGACTTCACCTACATACAGCGCTTGTGAGTGCCGCATGCCAAAAAGTGTGCTTTAAAGTGTGCGAAAGTAGTTCATAGGACCACCTCTCCGGCTCTTTTACCCACACAAAAACACTGCCAAATTGCTTTCACAACTTTTCCTTGACAAACTTTATTTTTAATTAATTAAATTTTATTTATTTACACTTTCTGATTTCTTTCTTCTTTTTTTTTGCAGCTCAGCGAACTGGGACGTCCGTTCACAGGCGGCTCGTGGTGTGGCAAGGCCACTGGACCACAATTGTACTTTAGCGAAACATCCACGGTGACAGCGTCGGTTAAGGTGGGTGGACGACGCGGACAGAGGGACTCACCGTGAGCCAAACAGCGACAACTGAAGTGCATATATAATTTAAAATTGAACAACTTTCCGCCATGCTCGCATTTACACTCACGCTCCCATTCTCCGCCAAACACCAGCAGCATCACGTGACGTATACGCAATATTTATTTGAGCATCCACTCTCGACATTGCCACTTTTTGATTAATTTTTAAATAAACGCCGCCCATAAATGGGCAAGTGGACAGCAGTATCGGCCAACGCTGCGCATACGTCGCTAGTGCCAGGGCAAGCACATAAATTATGAAAATTAATAAAAATTCAACGGTGCATGCGGGGCTTGCCAAGTGGCTGCCAAGAGCTCGCCGAGTGCGAGGAAAAGAAATTGCTGCAAGTGATGACCAGTCGACGACGTGCCGCACAGATTGCACGCAGCTTAATTAACAGAAATTTGCGCTTTCATGTGAATATGAATGCGTCTGATATGGGTGTGTGTCTACTATATGTCGCTGATGCGCTGTGTACTGACAATTTCGACGACAAGTTTCCGCTTAACTCATTAAGCGCCAAATTGTCATAAGTTCGACAGAAAATTTCCACCGCTTTGCAGGCAATTGTTTTCTATTTCGTGCGCTGCTCCCTTTCCAGACATAAATATTTCAATGGCAGCTCTCCGAGTTGTTTCACGTCTGCACGTCTTTTGTGTGGCATACAATTGGGCTTCGAGGCATGCAGTTGCCGGCACGCGAGACTAGAAGGACAATATCTCTATACGTCTGTGTGCCTGCCTGCCTGCCTGCCTGCTCCCCTGCCTGCCTACTTACCTGCTGTATGTATTTGGCAATATGTATAAATGCGGGCATATCCACACTCAATTTGAAACTCATTTCGGCATGCCAGCGAAATGCAAGCTATTTATTTCCTTATTCTCTTTTCTGCTATCTGCAGGTATTCCATCCGCCACGCAATATACGAGACGAGAAACCTTTCGAGTTCAGTATAAGATACAAATTTATAAGCCAGTCCGATGCAGTTGTCAGGTAAGTTGGTTGGCGCAAATGCTACAAAATGAATTTCTTGAGTTGCCAACGACAAGATATAATCCAATATAGAATAACACTCGGACAAAATTAAAGAAAAGACACATTAAGCCAACAACGTATGCTCAAGAAATATTTTATAAAAAAAAGGCAACACCGATAAAATTTTGGTAACAAATACACATGCGAAAAAGAAATTATATAATTATTACAATATTTTCCTAACTAAACATATATGTTGTAAGATAAGTATAGGAATAAGTGGACGTTTGTTTTCAAATACTGTGATTAAAAACAGGAATGTGGTATCACGTATGTGTAAGTAAAAATGTAAGAAAGTGTAAAAAAAATAAGAAAGTGAAATATATTGTTTGAAGAAAGTTACTGTACATTAAAATTGAAGATCATTAGGCCCCCTGACAGCCTCTTAAAGTATATACATATACAATCAAATAAAAATATACATACTGTAATATTATATCATAAATAATTAGTTAAATTAATATGTATAGTCTATGAGCTTAGTCGATGAATTCAATATTCCTTTCATCCAACACTTAACAGTAGACTTTGGAACGTTTATTTATGAATTTAAACAAGATAGAACGCTACAGTCGAGCAAGCCCGACAGTAAAATAGCCTGTACTCTCCACAAAAAGGAAAAATTAAAAAAAAAAAAATTTTAAAAATTAAATTATTAAAAAAAATGAATGAATTAATTAATTAAAATAATTAATTAAATTAAATTAGAATACATGTTTATGTTCAGTTTAAACAGCATACATTTACATCACGTACCTATGCGTGTTTATATGCGTGTATGTATGCAGCACAAAGTTGAACCAAAGCAGCAACAACAACAACAGCTGCGGGCAGCGCTGCCGACAGAGGCAGCGCATGAGCAGCGATTTTACTTATGGCTATAACTTTCTTCAGAATTGACCTATCATGATGAAATTTGGCACACGGACACATTAGTACTAACTGGATGTACCTAAATTCCGAGAATTACGGAAGTTATAAGAAAAAATACGAATTGCGGGGGAGTGGGGGGGTGTATCAGAAAAAATAAACAAACTCGTTCTGCCTAGGGCTTATAGGAACCTTGATACCAATTTTGGTTATCCTAGCTCTTGTACTTACTGAGATCCTTGCGCTCATACAGACAGACGGACAGACGGTCAGACGGACAGACGGACATGGCTATATCGACTCGTCTTCTCATCCTGATCAAGAATATATATACTTTGTGGGGTCTGCCACGCCTCCTTCTGTGTGTTACATACATGCGCACAAAACTAGTATAGCCTTTCACCCTTTGGGTACAGGCTATAAAAATGTATACACACACACAAAAACTACGATTATGTGCTTAAAAATGAACTGATTAATATAATACATTAAGTATAATAGACAATTTCTAATTTACTTTTAATTCTTTTTAAAATGTATAAATATTACATAGTGTAAAAAGAGTAATCATCTTGTGATTAATACAAATTTGTAACTTTTTCCCTGCACTGAGAAATGTAAAAATGAAATAAAAATTTAAAATAATAATAAGAAAAACTTGCAAAGCCTCTATTTTAGAACACAAATGTTCCACTTCCGGAATAAATATTTTATATAGCGTTTCCTCTCATTATAATTTCTAAGATAAATAAGACGAATACAAATTGGTTTCATACTATAGGGAGTAATTGTCTTGAAAAACAAACTACCTCACAAAATAGAATATATGTGGTAAATACTATTTCATAAATCACATGAGTTATATAAATTAGTCGCGCATTTACTTGCTCAAAACTGTATGATGCAAATTCCAATATGAACTTCTTTTAAATTATTATAAAGAGCTTTAAATTGAAAGCAAACCTGCATAAACCTGGATTTTCTATTTAAATGTACATTTGGCTGGCCACTTATCTACATACTAGTGCATACGCCTCGCTATTCAGTTGTCGAATACTCGTATGTATGTATTGTTTGGAAGCAGGACAAGCAATTGAAAAGTATTCTTACGCCTGAACAAATTAAACAACATTTACTGAGAAAATCTTGCAATAAAGCTGCATATATTATATGTATAAATAATACACGTAGGTATGGCAAGAATTCGATCCAATGGCCAGAGCAGTTGTTCAGAGACCCATTAGAAAACTAAACATGTAATGACTGACAAACACACTGAAACCCATGACACACACACACACACACTTTATGCAAATTGCAATGGAAAAGCTTTAAATGCCAGCAACTAAATGAAATGCTCATTGTCCTCCGCCGTTCCTCTGTATTCTGCAGGTACGGTCTGCCCGATAAGCCGCTTGAGCTGGGACGTGTCACACCCGGCACCTATTGTACACGACAATTCGATGAATGCTATCGTAACAAGTGTCGCCTGCAGAGCCCAAATTATCCTGGCATGTATCCGAGGAATGTTACCTGCTATTGGACCATTCGACAAAAAGAAGTTCCTACCAGCAAGCATGCCATGGTCGCCGTTAGTCAGGAGAACCAGCACAAGGCGCTGGTGAAGCGGTAAGTGCAACTTTGGGCATTCAACAAAAAGCAATGGAAGGCAAAGAATGGTTTACGGTAAATTGGAATTGGAATAGAGTGAGGTGGACGGCAATACGGAAATGCTGAAATGTTCAACTCCTGCCCTGCGAGCGCATTAAATATGCATTCACATTTGTATGACAAATTTCAATTTTGTAAATAGCTAAGCAATGTAAGCCAGCTCTCGTCGTAGCTATTCATGCTGACCCGTACCGAGACGCCTTATACTTATTCTCTGTACAAACATATGTACGTCAATTACATTTGCACACTAATTTCGAATGCATTAAACTTTCCAAATTGAGATTTACTATGTATATGCATACTATATGCAAGTGTTTCTTGCATTCACCGAGGTAAACATGTGGACTCCCCTTAATTAATCGGGAATACATAATTTTATGGAGTGTATCATTCCTCTAATAGAGCCTCACATTTAACAGAACGATTTCGGTATAGTTTTTATAACCTTCGGATATTTTTCATTTATTTTTAACTTTATTGCAGTTACCTCAGTTTTAGCTCTAAAAACCCATTTCATAAATTTTTGTATTACAATTTCTAGAATATTTACTCGTCTCAGAGCAGAAAAACCACGCGTTTTTGGAAATATTTTATACATACTTGTAGGTTTATACCCTGCAAAGTATGTAGCAGGCAAAAGGAAGCATCTCCACACCCATAATGTGTATATATTCTTAATCAGCAATGCCTAAATAAATCGATATAGATTTATCGATTCTGCTGAGCCCGAGAAAGGAGTAGGTTGTATTTTTGTTCTTTACTGATGCATTCCCCACTCCGTTTTTAGTTAGTTCCTTTAGCTCGCGTAATTCTTGGAATTTCTACTCAAATTGATCAAGTTTTGTCGTGATACGTTGCAATGGTAAGTTGTTAATCTATTAGGGGTGTGGTTCGATGAGCAGTCAAAGGCCAAATGTTTAACTAAGTATCAACGCTACTAAGCTGCATCAGATCTGCATGCACGCGAATATAGTATATATAGCATTATTATTCTATAGAATACGCTTAACAAAATCTGCATACATGAGTACAGATTATGTTGCATAGAAGGGGATAAATTTATAAAGAGAATAAATGATGACTTCTCTGGGGCTAATTTCATTACTGAAGCCAGAATATATAGATTTAAGCCCATGGTAAGCACAGAGGATTATAGATTTACACAGTTGCTGCAAAGTAAAAGTAATTATATTTTCCAAGCATTTATAGAAACGACAAATAATTAAGCAATACCTCTGCATTGAGTGGATTAAAAAAATTACATTTCCAAATAGTTAGAAAAACTGTCTAGTCCAGGGAGAAATGTGGACAAAGGAAATAAAATTAATTGCCTGGGGGATTGCACTATGTTCCAGGAGAAGGAAAAGAGGCTGCAAAGCGCGAGCGCAAAGTACAAGAATACGGCAGAAGCGACTAAAAACAAAGGCGCCTGAACGACAATAAACAAAAGCTCTAATAAAATGAGGCACTTCAAAGTGTATATGCGAATTTTAAACCATTCTAATAGCCTTCCAATTGAGAACCACAAAAGTCAACATAAAATATATTTTCGCTTTTTTATTTGCAGCTCTATTGCCAGCTTCAACAAGACCTCGCGCTCCATACGCGCCTGGTCCGACTGCACGGGCGAACGGGATCACCTGATATTCTACGATGGCAGCTCCACCAACGACCCCGTACTGGCCAAATACTGCGGCGGCGATTGGTTGCCACGCGTCGTGTCACGGTAAGTTCTATGCGATATACGAGTATGCACGCCTACTTTGTGGCACGCTCGAAACCTTTAAGCTTGTCAACCATTGAATGCGAGAGACAAAAAGACGGCCGCATTTATTTTACGGCATTTTCTTTTATGAAAAAGTTAAACACAACTCATAATACATTTACAAGCGAGCGAGTGAGCAGACAGCGCCATTTTAATGACAGCACGCATGTGTGCGACTATTTGATTGTGTGACTGTGCGAATAAGTGACTGCGTGACTGTGTGGATGGGTGGATGTATGGATGGGTGGATGTATGGATGTATGTGTGTGTGTATGGATGTGTGGATGTGCGCGTTTGAGCCGCAACTAGTGCACTGCACTGCAGTTGACTGGGGGGCATGTGTTCCAATTCAGTTACACACACAGCCATCCATGGACACATATTGCAATTGTGCGCAATACTTAAGCCAAACCGGAAATTGGGTTGCTGTGCACAGAGTCAGGCAGACTGACAGTCATTGGGACATAGACGTATACAAACATATCTAAATAGATTTATGTTGCTTTGCAACTATGGCTAGATGTGCGGGTGAAGGAGCTGCTTGTATGGATGCGGGTGCAGTTGTGGCTGTGCCCCTCTTTTTTGACTTGGCTTGGTCTAGCTTTAGCTTTTGATTTTCTTTTTTTTTTTACTATTATTGAAAACATTTTGAGTTGAGTGTGATTTATGCAATAGCACAATTTTCCTCATTAGTAGTTGGCAGCATAGCGCTGAATAAATTCTTAAAGCGCGCAACGGCGCATCTCAAGTCCTGCAACACCCAAAAAGTGGCAAAAGGGACACTTGAGGCAGCCACAGCCAATTGACGCAAAACGATCAAGAGCTGCTCGGCCAACCCACCTCCACACCAGACGAATACATATCTGTATCTGGCCCATTATAGTACATAGCCACAACCCCAGTCATTTATCTATTTCGCTTGTGTCGCAGTTGGGACAACGTTGCGACCAGCACTGTTTTTGTTGCTACATGCGCTTTTGGCAGCTCTCACTTAGTGCCCGTGTGTTGGTGAGTGTGCCTGCACTCCAGACATACATTTTGACATCGATTATGGGTTTTGGCCATGTGCTGTGGCACCTGCAACAACATTTAGCCGGCCATCAAAGCAGAGCCACAAAGCTGCAAATTAAAAATCTGCTGGATATTTATTTACGCAAAATCGTCGCTCTTCTACTCATCAGGATGGAAATGGGGAAGAGTATCTGCAAACTCAAACACACACTCACACACCACCCGTAGCGGTAATCTCTTAATGAGTTGCTTGCCGAGCGGAGTTATTGACAAGTTCACAAAGCCAGGATGGCGAAATTAATGCAAACACAACTGCAGGCATCTTAAATCTTAAAAGCAAACTCTCACACGTATGCGTATACTATATGTACATTCATGTGCGAGGGATGGCTGATAAGTAAATAAACGAAAACAGACATTTATGCTGGTGGCTTTTACTTTTACCTCAACGAGGACTTTAATCAATAAACATCAAGAACGTTAAATATTATTATTTCTAATCTGTTCGATATTACCTTCCATGTATTCTTCCAAGAAGTGTGGATATTGGGCTTGGTTCTTAAGAATATACATACAAATGTTCGATTACCAACTGTCTAGTTAAATAATAAGAGCTTATTTAAGAAAATGCGAAAATCTCCAACTAGGTGGAGGAAATCTCAATAGTGGTTGTGTTCACAGGTTTTCACGATGATTGTAGAAGAAAGACGTTTTTTATCTACAAGGTGCGTTCTAAAGTAAACAGCAATTTTTGGATCTAGCGCCCCCTGGTGGCGCTATATGTCGACTGGTGCGTTAGAATCTGCTATCTTTATCGATTGTCCAGTGAGAATTTCATGGCATTTCATCTATTGGAAGTGAAGTTATTGCGTTTTAAGTGTCAGTATGTTTGTGTTATCGGTGCGAAAATGAGCTTCGAACAAAGAGCCAACATTAAATTTTGTTTTAAAATTGAAAAACTTTTTCCGAAGCGTTTCAATTGATGGAACAAGTTTATGGCAATCAAAATTCGTGAATTCATCAAAAATCAGCCGAAATCATCATTGAAATTGATGGAAATGGAATTGAACATCTCCAAAACATCGATTTATCGCATTTTGTTCGAACATATGGGCTTACGAAAAGTGTGTGCACGGTTTGTTCCGCACAAATTGACTGACGACCAAAAATTGCTCAGAATCCAACATTCGAAGGACATCATTAAAGAGGTCAAAAAGGACAAAAACTTCCTTTACAATATTGTGACTGGTGACGAAATGTGATGTTTCCAATATGATCCCGAAACGAAACGCCAGAGTGCTGAATGGAAGGCATTGGACGAGCCGAAACCCAAAAAATCGCGCATGGCGAAGTCTAAAGTGAATGCTGACAATGCTGATTTGTTTTTATGATTCCATGGGTATTGTCCACAAAGAATTTGTTCCTCCTGGCCAAAACGTTAATGCAGTACCTTGGAGTTTTGAAGCGTTTGGTGCGCCGTATTCGAGGTATTCGGCCCGAATATAGTATCGCGAAGATGAAAGTTGGCGTTTGTTGCACGATAATGCGCCGTCTCATTGATCCACGCTTGTGACCGATTATTTTACCAAAAATCACATTTTAGCCATTAACCACTCGCCGTATTCACCTGATATGGCACCGTGCCCCTTCTACCTTTTCGGAAAAATGCATTTGCCCATGAAACGAAGCGTTATGCAGACGTAGAGGACATTCAAAAGGCTTGCACGAGCATACTGGCGGCCATACCGGCCAACGAGCTAAAACACTCGTTCGACATGCTTTTGGATCGTGCAGAAAGCTGTATTGAAGCAGAAGAAGTATATTTTGAATAAAATAAATTGATTTTGCCGAAAAACCATTTGTTCTGTTTTTTTTTTTAAGTCCTGTTTACTTTGGAACACTCCTTGTATAAAGAGGGAATCCTCTAGATACTAGGGAATACACTTAACTATAACCTAACCCGCAAAAGATTTTATAGACAAGATTAATGGAAATGGTCTACGATAGTCAAAAAAGCAAAGACGACCTAAGAACGCAGAGGAGGGCAGAAGCAGTAGTCACACATTAAGTTTATTGGTGTCTCATTTTATTGGTATACTATAAGAATAAAAAAGATTTAGAGAAATTGATTTAATACCTAATCTCTTGCTAAGTTATATTTGTTGATCTACTGGACTATATTTTTTGGAATTGGTCTCGTCGCTCTTTCATTTCAAAAGGACACTTTTCAATTATTTAAAGCTGAAAATTATTGACATATCCCAAATTTGGTGGACCATAAAGCGATACATTGTGCCGGCTATAAAGGTAAAATGTTTGGAATGCCACTAAAACCGACTATCTATCAGCCATCCCCCGTTTGTGGGCTCACAAAGTACACGAAGCAGTGCGCATCAAAAATGCATAGAGCGTAAAATGCACAAGACGCGCAAGATGCTCAGCTTGATGGGAAAAAGTGGGTCCTGGGCTGTGGTTGGTAAGTGGGAGCGGCTCGAAGACAAGGCGGAAGACACCAGCGCTCGACAGTCGAATAAAAACGGCGTTAAGTCTTTCTGCTCGTTGCTATCGCCGATGTCGTTGTGGCGCAGTCTGAATAACGAATTATAAATGCACACTCATACCCAGATAGTTGGCTGCCAGTTCAGCCCCGGGAAGAAGCAGCACTGACAGGCATACACAATTTTCCTTGCACCTTTTGCCTTGACGCTGACTTAATATGGAAATTTTATGTGTACACACATATAGTACATACATATGCATTGAGTGGCTCCCCCCCCCCCCTGCCTACCCCACCATTTGACGCCCTGCGCATAAGCTGCATGAAAATTATTAATTTCCCGACATTACTTCAAATTGCTACAAGGAAACATGGCCATGGTAGCTTCAGCGTGGATTCCTGCTGTGCATCTTTATTTCGCTTTTGGAAAGGAATACAAGTAGTGTGGGTGCGAGGGCGGGTTCTAAGCAAATTCTGGCTTACTGGCAGATGAAGCTGTTCAAATTTTGTTAATTTTTGTGTGCCATCTCGAGAAGCACTTAGAGCCATGCTATAAGTTAAATGGGGCATCATATATTTATAGCTGTTGTGCGACATTTTCTCGCGTAGCAGAGATTCGAAATCTTAGGTAATCAGTCAGCTAATTGCATGTTGCCAGTCGTTCAAGGCCCACTACAAGGTTCTATATTTTTTCAAAACCTTTTGCATCTGCTCTCAATTACGGTGATACATATTGGTTATTAAAGTTTTTTATCACAATCAGCTTTTAATATCATATACATAGCTACTACTGAAATAAGTACAGCTTGCTTCCTATTGCCTGGTGAATACTTTGGACAAACCTAATATAGCCTATTTACCCTACGATATAAAAATAAAATTCACATAAATATGGCTATTTAAAAAATTTAATTGTAGCCTGTACCCAAAGGGTAAAAGCCTATATTAGTGTTGTGCGAATGTATGTAACAGGCAGAAGGAGGTGTGGCAGGCCCCACAAAGTATATATATTCGAGTTCAGCATAACAAGCCGAGTCGATATAGCCATGTCCGTCTGTCTGTATGAACGCAAGGATCTCAGAAAGTATAAGAGCTAGAATAACCAAATTTGGCATTCAGGTTCCCCTGAGCCCTAGGCAGATCGAGTTTGTGTTTTTTTTCTGATACACACCCCCACTCCCCCTCAATTCGTATTTTTTCCAATTCCCGTAATTCTTGGAATTTCGAAATTCAAATTTGGTAGTCACATCCAGTTACGTATGATTATACGTCCGTATGTTAAGTTTCATCATGATAGGTCAATTATGAAGAATGTTATAGCCATAACTAAAATCCCTGCTCATGCTCTGCCTGCAGCTCTGCCCGCAGCTGTTATTGTTATATATTAAAAACATTTTATTTATTTAATTTAGTTAATTTATTCAATGTGGAGAGTACAGGCTATTTTACTGTTGGGATTGCTCGACTGTAGGGTTCTCTCTTGTTTTAAATTGGGTAAAAGGCATAAAAAACTGGCTGGAAATATTGCCTAAAATTATTAGCAGGGGTCCTTCTTCTTTGAAGATGGCTTAAAAATCTGATAATACCATCGATTTCTCGACATGTTATGACAATCGAATTGTGAAACAACAATCTATTGAGCTCCACTGTTTATTATTTGGGTGAAAATATCACGATTTCGTCGAATTAAGCAGTCAGTTGCCAGCGTCCAGCAGCCGGTTAAGATGGCGTTATCAGCATTCAGTACAAGTCATGAGAAATTCACAATACGTGTTCGTAGTCAAGACGTATTCTCCGGCGCTGATTTCGATCTTTGGTATATTCAAATAAAACTTGTTTCCATATTTTTAAAAATTATATTAAAGTAAAATTATTATTTACAAGAGAGAACGATACAGTCTAGCAACCCGACAGTGAAATACCGAGCACCCAGACAAATTTCCAGCACTAAGAAGAAGAAAGCACAGACCTATTATACTCCTTTATAAAAGGAGCTGAAGTCGGGTGTCCCGACTTTCAAATACTCTGAACACATGTATCGAATATTTATAGAAATTTTAAAAATAAATAAATGCAACAAGTAAAACAGCTAAGGTCGGGTTTCCCGACTTTGAAGCACTCTGTACATATGTGTAGATGAACCATAGAAATTTTAAAAATTAAGACAAGTAGACAAGATAAAGTCGGGTGTCATACATAAATATATGGCTATAACTTCCTGTTAAATCGGCCTATGATGATGATACTTAGGATACACACTCATAATCACTAACTGGGGGTATTTTTTGAATTTTAATGAAAAATTACAAGAAACAGGGAAAATCACTAATTGCGGGCGAGACGAAGGAGGGAGGGAAATTCCAAAATACACATTTTCTGCGTATTCACATAAGGCATCTGGGACACTTGGTGTCCCAGGCTCTTATGTGTCCGAGATATGAGTGAATGACGAATGGAAAAAAAAAACCCCATAGGGGGGGGGGGGGGGGAAGTGGGGGGGGGGGGGTTAATCAAAAAAAAAAAATAAAACAAACTTGCACTGCGTAGACATATAAGGCATCTTTTTGCAAAATTTGGTGTCTCTATCTCTTATAGTCTCTGAGATCCAGGTATTCATACGGACGGACAGACAGACAGACAGGGCTAGATCGACTCGTCTCGTCATGCTGATCAAGAATATATATACTTCGTGGGGTCTGCCACGCCTCCTTCTGTCTGTTACATTTTTCAGCTCCCGCCCACCTAGTTTACTCTTGTACATTTCATGTACTTGTACAGAGTATAAAAAGTATGTCTTATAATCTCTGAGATCTGTTCATACGGACAGACAGACAAACATACAGAGACAGGGCCAGAGTTTCGCGATTCAACCCATGCTGTTTTCCCAGCATTGATCAGCTGGACATCCTTGCGACCATCAAACCGTTTTTCATGCGTGCGTACGTAAACCCCAGCAAAGACCCAAACCACAAGGTTGTGGAGCATTCGCGGTCAGTTAACCAACCAGCAGGTGAGCAAGTGAAATTTTGTGGCTCGCTGAGCTGTATATTGATGACCAAACAAGCCGAGCTGGAGGTGTGCGAATGGGGGTTTGCGGAGCTCGGGAACGTGCGCAAGGTTTGTTGATTTTACGACACCCACAAGTGTGCCACCGCACGCAATAAAGCAACCAAGTGCTACGCGCACAGTGACGCATTTACAGGCACGATTACATTCGGGAAAATTGGAAGCAAAACAGCACCAGCAGTCAGTCCTGCTGGCAGGGCCAGCATTTGTGGGTTTTATTAAAAATTAATTTACTTTTCATTTACAGTTTATTGCACTTGGCTGACAGCAAACGTTGTTGTGGTCGCTCTCGTTGTCATTGCTGCAGCTGTTCCCTGCTAGCTGGGCTGTCTCTAAGCACATGCTTCGGATCCTTTGGTCAAAGGAAGGGTGTATGAGTGCGTGCTGTGTTAGGTGTTGGGGCGCTGTCTGTGTGTGTCTTTTAACCACACTTACATTTATTTAAAAGCCATTTGTTGGCCACGTTTTTGATGTCTTTTGAGACGTGGTCTAGATGGTGTTAAATTGTCAGGTGTGCGTGTGCGTGTGCGTGTGTGGTTGTGACTGCGACTGTGACTGTGCCATGCACGGTTAAGTACCAGCCGCATTACTCTTCCTATATAGTACATACAATGTAAACACGGCATCAAATTAATTTTAAATGAAAAAATTCCTAAGTGCTGCAAACTCCATTTAGCTGTTCAGTTTGGGGTTGCGAGTCGGCAAGCGGGTCCATAATGGAGACAGCTTCGAGTGGCTTAAATTTTATGCCCCACTTGGTGTTGTCGTTACCATTGGCTAGGGCACGACTTTGCCTGGCGACGCGCTGTCTGTGTCTCCGAGGCAGCAACTGCGGCAACAGCAGCCCCAGCGACAATAAATGCTACAACACCCACGGCTGTCATTTCATAATTTCTGCCAAAAATCAAAAGACAAACGGCGTAAAATTGGGCAACAGCAACTACAATATCTGGGGAAAGAGTGGGCTGGCGGCCTGAGTTGCTTGCCTCGTCTGGCACTTGCCTGCCGCTTGTTATGCCAAAAATTTGCCTAAACTTCTGCAGCGACAGACAATAGCGAAAAAAGTTAATTTGGCAACAAAAATGCAAACAAGTCGGCAAAGACAGTAGGGGGTGACAACAATAGTGTGCCGGGCACTTTAAATCGCAACTAGGCAGTCGGGGGAATGGGCGCGTAGGGGCGTGGCTAACAAACTATGCGAGCAGAACAAAACACTGCGTCATACTTTTAGGCGCGGCTCTTTGGCAGAGATTTGTTCGTTATGTTTGTTTGTTTATTGGCATTGCTTTCTGTTGGCTCTACGTAGCTGTCTGTAGCTTTATATCTTTATTTGTGTGCTGGTATGTGTCCTCGTACTTTTCCAGCAAAACTTTACAGATTTTCCATTTTGCCAAGCTGAGCAAATGAAATTTATGTGAAAACTAGTTTTTTCACGCCTGTAATTGAAGTGCGGGGGGTGGCGAACATTACAATAGGTGGAGGAAGATTTGGACTTTCAGCCTAGAATCATAATCACCTTCGTTACGAAATATTGGTCCACGTGAATTTAAAAACTTCTTGGTGTGAAATTAGCAGTAAAATTGAAACATATCATTCAAGATTTCGGTATTTTGGTTTCAAGCGTGACCATGTGAGCCTTAATTCAACAGATTGGTCCGAAAACCAAATTAGCACAGACTTGAGGAGCATAATTAGCTCTGACTTGCATTGCTACCTCATTTAGCCATTTAGTCGCTTTGTTTCAATTTCTTCGAAAACCAAGAATTTATAATTCTGCAACTGTCACACAAAATTGTGTTTTTTTCTTAACTTACAAATTCCTTAAAAGCAGACCAAACTTTTTTTTATTTAGCTTGGCTTATACACTTTTATAGAATTGTTCAAATTAATGCGCTTTTGATTTTGATCTCACTTCTGAGATTGTGAGATCAATATATCATTTAGATCACAGCTCGAGGAAACGCAGGTCCGCTTATTCAGGGTGTATTCTTTAGAGAACTTTTTTCTTCTAAACTTCTTTTTGTTTTTTCTCTAGATCTATGTGTATGTCTATGTATCGATATATGATATTCCATAGAATGAAAATGGAATTGAAAAATAGGAAATGCAGACATTTTTAAAATATTAACCCTAGTAATCTACTGGTACTCACTGAGCCAACATGAATTTTTCAACTAACTTGTGTTTTTCCTTATTTTTTTTTTGCAGTGGTCCGGAAATGCTGGTGGCCTTTCACTCCAGCCCTTTCTCGGCGCCTCTACAACAGGGCATACCGAATCGTGGCTTCGAATTGGACGTTGACATCCTATTTACTGATTCGGATTCCTTCGACTTCGCCCAGGGCACAAAGAATCTCTGTGAATTTCATATTAATGCTACGAATCCGGGTAAGTAGTGTGCGGCACACAATTCCCTTCTACATCAGGTACGTTTATCAATTGAACTGTTCGGGCGTGAGCCGATCCAAGCTCACCTGACATTGATGCCTTGGAATGATTATTATTTGGAGTTTTACACCTGTGAGCTCTGGAATCGGTGGAAAGAATGTTCTAAACTAGGTCAGCCACAAAGCATTGGATTGGTTAGCCTCCCCACCGCACTTACTTCCGTTTCTTGACATTTGCTTTTCAAGTGTGACGGCTTCGATTCGTTTCTGGTGGTGTTATTGCACCGTCTTTTCAAAAGGTGGAACGCATGAAATGCTTTCATTTCATTTATGTTGTACAATGATTTTATTGCCGCATCAACTGCATTGAGCTCGCAACTAATTAGTACACGCTATGCTTATTCAGGACTCAAAAGTTAAAAGCCACTTGAAAGTTGGTGTTACGCAAGCCACTTTTGAGGCAGAAAGGAGTGAACAAGCGAGCATCCTTGCAACCGGCAGCTTAATGAAGCTAATGGCCTCGTTGCCTGGGCAATCTAAGCAGGCAAAATGGGATTTTAATTAAATTCAAGGCCAGACTGATGGTGCTGGCCATCCAGTGCTTCCACTTCTTGTCTTGTCCAGTGTTCCAGTCCTATCCAGAATGGAGGGTTCACATTAAATAGCCAAATTTGGAGAGTGAGCTATGGCAACCACGTTTAATATAATTGCGGCAAATTATAAGCCTCCACTCTACACACTTCTTTATGCCCACCAGCTGCATTTAATTGAAAAATTATTAAACGGAATTTCGGAGGAACCACCGCCCATCGCCTGACACATTGTGCAGCTTTTGCTGAGCACCGACACAGCGCTGCAAAGTAGGCAACGTCTTGGACCGCTAATGTTCATTAATTTGCACTTAATAACTTTTGAGTAGGTTTTTTGCTCATCCAATTCCTTCTTCATGGTTTGTTTTAGCAAATTTCTCATTCGAAATTATTTTTGGTCGAGCAGGCAGTCTCGGTCGGCTTTGGCGCCGAATTCAGGTCGTTTACTCTTCTGATTTAACTGAATGCGTTGCCCAAAACTTTAAGTAGCTCCTCTGGTGATTCTCCTAACAGTTTTCTGCTGTTCTCATTAACTTCATGGCTTGCCTTTTTTGTTATACTTATGCTGATGTTGTTTTTACTTGGAATCCATTTTGTTGTTTTTTTGTGGACCATTTAATTGTTAGACTCTGAGTTTTGCTTAACAAACGGATGTGTCTAAGAAGTCATTAGCTAGACCCTAACATCATCATTTTTATTATGATGCTCGAAGCGAAATCAAAAGAAGAATAAAATGCCAGAGGCGAGCTGACCCAACTCTTAAATACCCTGTACTCAGAAGAAAAACATGAAAAAATACTTTCGAATTATATTTTGAAAATTAAATTAATTGCATAAAATTATAAAACAACAGCTGCTGGTAGGCATTACTTTCATGACTATGACTTCCTTCCTTGTTGAGGCAGCGAGCTTTTTCGATGCCTTTTTATAAGTATATTGTTGTATGAACCCAAAGCAATTACAAATATAATAGACAGCCTTGTAGAGCAAGGTACAATCTACGAATGTACTATATGTATGTAATTATGTGTTTAGAGCTTGATCAAACATTGTCCTTTCTCGGGCCTAGGAGAATCTCGACACCAAGAGTGCTTGCACCATTTGTGTAGATGAGACAACATCGATAATATAACAACAACTTACACTACTTGTAATATTACAACTATTGAGGTTTTTTGGTGAACCTTTTAAAAAGGTTGATATGTGAATCGAATAGTATTGGAATTTTAGAATTTGGATTCATAGCGGGATCATGCGTTGCAGTCGGCTACAAGAAAAAATATAAGTTAAGGTATTAAGGTTTTTTAATGGGTATTAAAGTAACTTAATGAAATTCTGCGATTATGACAATTTAAACCAATTTAAACTTAATATTCGAAAGTAGTACCGTAGTCATCTGTCTGCATATCTCTCTTTGCGCATCTCTAATACATCTCTAGTTGCATGGCTATAATTTCTTTGCTTATCTTGTCTACCATTGCTTGTTGTAAAGTTTCGAAAATTTTAATTGAATTAGATGCTTTGTAAGTAATGTAGTTTGCTCGCACAGTGCTAAAATATAATTAAATAGCTTGTATATACACATGCAGAATATGGACACACATACTACACGTATATTGTTTGCTTGCTGAAATAATATTGAAAAAGCCACATATCTCGCCTTTTAATTCCGGGCAAAGTTCTACGATGCATTTAATTAAACTGAATTGAAAAGTTATAAGCAAAATCAGTCTAAATTAAATATGCAACAGCTTTCATTGCGCAATCAACGAATTTAAAACCACTGCAGCTGCAGAGTATACCGAGCTGGCCGACTGACAACAAAATCCCCCATTGACATCATTGCCAATGTTGTGTAGCTGCCGCAGTATGTTAATCATACGTCATGTTGTCCGCGTTGGGGTTTTATCATACATTGTTTGCATTTTCGAATTGTTTTGAAATTAAAGGGAAAACCACATGTATACTTCCAGCAAAACCCATTATTCTACTCCCACTCGGGCCTTCGTATGCGATGCTGCTGGACACGCTCATTATGATAACTTTCAAATGACCTTTGCTTGCATTATAAATAAGTGGCATTCTACACACATGCACACACACAAAGAGCCCCCATATGCATGTGTATTTAGCATATTTAAATAAAATATATTGAATTTCTGGTCAACTCTTAATGATGCCGCTGCCCCATCCATTGTTGCGGCTCCCTCAATTGTCGGTATTGTTGGGAGCGCTCTCTAAAAGCGAGTGCGTGTGTGTGTATGTGTGTGTGTGTGTGTGTGTGTTTACCATACAAGCCAAACAAAACCACACACATACTCGCACACAACAAATAAAAGCAAAATGAAACGATAAATATTTGGTTTTCGTTAAAACTTTAATTAAAATCATGTTGTTGTGTCCCGCAATAATTTATTTGTATCGCGAGTTCGGCAATTGCAAAGACCTCGCTCGTTGTTCTCTCGCATGTTTGTGGCTATATGTGTCTGAGAGAGTATGGTGTGTGTTTGTCGATAACAAAACAATTATGCTGTTTTGTTTGTTTGTTTGTTTGCTTTCACGTTCACCCGCGGCTATTTAAAACGTCTCCCTCTCCCCAGTTTACTAATTGAACTTAGCGTGCCTGGCGACTGACTGGCAATATTTTTATAGCCTGTACCCAAAGGGTGAAAGGCTATACTAGTTTTGTGCGCATGTATGTAACACACAGAAGGAGGCGTGGCAGACCCCACAAAGTATATATATTCTTGATCAGGATGAGAAGCCGAGTCGATATAGCCTTGTCCGTCCGTCCGTCTGTCCGTCTGTCCGTCTGTCTGTCCGTCTGTCCGTATGAACGCAAGGATCTCAGAAAGTATAAGAGCTAGAATAACCAAACTTGGTTTCCATATTCTCCTAAGACCGAGAAAGTACGAGTTTGAGTTTTTTTTCGATGCACCCCCCCACTCCCCCGCAATTCGTGTTTTTTCTTATAACTTCCGTAATTCTCGGAATTTTGAAATCAATTTTGGTAGGTACATCCAGTTAGTACTAATGTGTCCGTGTGCCAAATTTCATCATGATAGGTCAATTCTGAAGAAAGTTATAGCCATAAGTAAAATCGCTGCTCATGCGCTGCCTCTGTCGGCAGCGCTGCCCGCAGCTGTTGTTGTTGTTGCTGCTTTGGTTCAACTTTGTGCTGCATACATACACGCATATAAACACGCATAGGTACGTGATGTAAATGTATGCTGTTAAAACTAAACATAAACATATATTCTAATTTAATTTAATTAATTAATTCATTAATTTTTTTTAATAATTTAATTTTTTTTTAAAATTTTTTTTTTTTAATTTTTCTTTTTTTGTGGAGAGTACAGGCTATTTTACTGTCGGGCTTGCTCGACTGTAGCGTTCTATCTTGTTCATTTTGCTCTGGCACACAGTGAGCCACAAAAGTTATTCACCAGTTACGCTTGCTTATCCTGCGGCGCATTCATGTCAGCTTTATATGTGCAGTTCATTAGCAATGCATTAAGCTGTAAATGTTTAATTCAATTTTTAATTGAGGGACAATGCGAAAAGCGTTTGCTTTTGATCATGCTTATGATCAGTCTGTGGTGTGTGTCCATCCGTCTGTCCGTCCACCTGAATAAATGCTTGGATTTTGGAAGCGGATGATGCTACAGTGAGCAAACTCGGTATGGAGACTAGTCCCTAGACAACACGAGCCTTTTTATTTTATTGTTTTAAGGGTGTCCTACTTACGGTTATGGGAATATGAGACCAAATTTTGTTATTCTGGGTCTTATACTGTTCGCATCCCTTCCATTCAGACAGACCGACATGGCTTTATCGATTCTTCTTGCCGTTCTAAATAAAAATATGAGGAGTCTGTCTCTCTGTTGGTTACTATCCCATTATTGTAAGCTCCGAACATGTTGCCGTAGCCTCTCATTAGTCATACACTAACTTGAAGAGGAGCCTCCTCACCCTAGACTTCCTAATTAGCACTAATCAACTTGCTGACGACACCCAACTCATCGTAGCAACAACAAAATCAAACACAGCCCCTCCACTGACCGGAAAATGCGCCACACCAAGCCGAGCAGTGGATGTCATATAATAAATTATGAAATCGCTGTAAGATTTGCAGAAAATTATTTACGCTATCTACCCACAACCCACGCATCCATACACACTCACATGCTATGAAAATTTATTACACTACAAACTCAGCAACATTTCCGCTTCGAGTCACAAGTAGCAACAACAAAGACGGTGGTGACGCCGACGACCCTACTCCACCACCCGCCCACCTCCCCCCCAAAAAACATTTACCAGTGTTTTGTATTGAGGCGAGCACACAAAATGCTAAAAATATGCTCAAATGCCAGCAAATATACAATATTTTATTACAAATGGCTCCACA